GCATGAGGAATCCGCCGTCGTCTTCTGGTGGAACCGAGCTTCGAATCTCTTCACCTAACAGTTTCACTCGAAATGGAAGTAAGCTCAACAATTGCAATCCTTTCTTACCTTCCACAGAATGGCGTCAACATGTCTCATATATCTGAATTACCGGTAGTCTTGAAACTCTAATTATGAACGAAAAAGAATAAATGTAGTCGATTGTCTTGGCAAATCTGACTTTTTTTCATCGACAATCCCATCACAAGTTAGGATATGGAAAATGTCTGGCTTTTTTTCGAAATTCACATCTGCACTGTGACCCTAGGCCACTCGTGGCAATATTAAGTAGTGGGTAACGTGTCGAGATTATGAGCTGCACTACGGCAACCATTATTAGAGTCCTACTGGGGATGGTGATTAGACCAGTTGAGGCGAGTTCGACACTGCAGTCTATTCTATCCTGAATGAAAATACCTTTTGGGAAGCAAGACTATACGAAATTCAATGGAAATGTAAGTTCTAATCATTTCATTGCGGAAAAATTCAACCATCAGTCTCTCCTCACCTTAAACGAAATAGGGTGATTACATCCCATATATCTGATTTACTGGTAGTCTCGAAAACCTACTTATTTATTGAGGTTGTTTGACCTTATTTTCGTAACATGGTCATATTGGTAGAAAGACTTAAAGGAACGCACCTAGTCCGGAGTCCATTGTCTACATGATCATTTCCAAAGTTGAACCGTGGACTTGGTACATTCCCAAACGTTACGCCGGCATCGTCAATGAGTATCGCAATTCTTAGCACCACACAACCACTCGTCAAAGAGACAAGTGAAGCCGATCCTTTGACCAAACGTGGGCTACACAATTGTGGTATCTCCCCTTCTGCCTTTCCGGTATCATCCTATCATGCCTTCACTATTACAATTTTACTGTATTTATTTAGATATAGTGTGGTGTGCTCCTTTGAGCGACATGATACCTTCACACTCCAACTGTCGTTCTTTATTGTGCTTTATTATTATGCAG